AAGCGATCAGGTGAACCTTGGAATATGTCATGCACGCCCTGTTGCATGACAAATGAGAGTCAGTAAGAATAATCCAAGAACAATGATGGTAGAGGCAGCTTGTAACAGGATATGCTCAGAAATAAGTTTAGACAAACTATAAATAAAATGCCATTTTAGCAATCCAACATCATGGGAGAAACAACCCAATAAGCATGAAACTTGGCTCACCTGAAAGACAAATCTCTCGTCCATTCCCTGAACAGAAAGAAGACCTTTCATCCTATAGATGTCCTCACTGCGTTCCAACAACAACGTACCAAGCCATATATTTGCCTGCAATTGATGGAAATTTAACCAAACATCATAATTTAGTGCTCACTTAAAAAATTTACAATCCATCCCTTTAGAGCTTGTTTGGTTTGAGGGAAGTGGAACTCCCCTCCATTTCCTTCAAACCAAGCATATATAGGGGTACATCCTCAAGGTTTGAGCACAAGATTTCCAAGTTTGACTGTTCAAGTCTAAAGTTCAAACCTCAGGATATGCAGGAAGAGGTTAGCGAAAGAAAGGGGCTTATGTGTATAGCACAATCAAACAGGTTACGGAAAGAAAAATAGAGAAAAGAATTAAAAAAGAAATAGATAAAAAAATAAACCATTCAGATCAAGGGCTCAAGTTTTTAAACCAGAAAGAAAGAAATTTGGTATTTCATTAGATAGGTCAGTCCAAACATCCATGGTTTTGGTTAAGAAGATAAGAAAATATCTTAAATGGAGGATTGTATGGATTAAAACCAACCTTCTCAAGATCTAAGCTTCCTTCACAAACTATGCTGACAGAGGAAACACCAGGATCATGAGTATGATCATGGGAATGGTGATCATCATGATGTTCTGCATATCAAAGCTCAAAATTATTAACTCTTCTATTAGTGGAATACCAAAGTACCCAAGCAATCTATGGTTCCAACAAAAGATCACAAAGATCAATGCCAAAAGCTCAAAGAGATGTTTTGTAACATTAACAGGCATTTACAACATCAGAAGGAAAACAAGAGAACAAAAATGGAAAACCTAAAAGACTAATTACATTAGAGAACCAAAAACAATTAGCAGATTAAGTCTAGTAAAAGAAGAGAAGAATCAGTTTCTCTCTCTCTTTTGGTGTTCAAAACTTATATTTTACAAACCCAACTTGACCCAATGTCTACAACTACTCAGATGGAAATAATGTTTTCCAAAACATAAGTTTAAACTGTAACCTTTAATGTTAATGCAATAGTTAGAAAAAGATAATTGGATATAAACAATCAACTTGAAACTTGCAAACATTAATCCAATGTTGTGTTAAATGGGCAAGATAGAAGATTTATAAAATTAACTGGAAGAAAAAGGCATGGTATCTGAATCACAAGTAAAGGTTTTAAGTGGTGGAAAAAAGAAGACAACATGTAAAGCAAGGAAATGGGAAAACAGGAGTGGTAATGCTTGTTCAAACAGCCATGTGTTTCAAAAATAATGAAATACATGGTTCTGGGTCAGGCCTATTAATTTCTAATAGCTGCATATTTTGCTTTATTGTTGGAACATATTTTATCTAGGTTTCAAGAAGTTATGGGCCTTTCAAATAGATCTTAATATTTTGAATCAGTTACTATAATCTCAATTAAGGCTATTACTTGTAATTAGGTCTTAGATTAGGAACTTTGAATATGTAAGCGAAAATAAACTTCAATAACAAGTGAATAGTTCACCCTTTTCTAATCAGCCAAGTGGGATCTTATTAGAAGTTGGTGGAGCATTAGAGGCATACTCCACCATGCCTAATACAAAACAGAGCAGCCCCTAATAGATGAATAGTTTACTTAATTTATTAACAATACTTAATAGAAAGATTTATATATTGATTAAGTTCAATAATTTAAGTAGACACCATCCTACACTTAAAAAAGGGCTGGCCATTTAGATCCATAACCATAGCAACACACACCCTGGAGTCCAAGTAACATATGGAAAAACATCTATCATGCTGCGAGATATATGATACATTCAATGCATAAGCAAAACTAGTATTTAATATTATGGGGAATGAAGTTACCATGCTTGTGATCATGCTCATCATGATGATGGTGGTGGTGATCATGACCATGATGGGCATGTTCCTCCTTTGGACCTTCAGCATTGACAGAACTCTCAATCCTAGCAAGAGTTCAGCAAAATGTTAGTCCAAAAACCAAAACTGATGAATTATGAAACCTCGAGATGAGAAAAATAGCAAGGGAAAACTGATGAATTATGAAACCTCGAGATGAGAAAAATAGCAAGGGAAAACTGATGAATTATGAAACCTCGAGATGAGAAAAATAGCAAGGGATTCAGTTAAAGGAAGATAACTGGATAAACAGAAATCATGAAAATTCCACACCAGAGATGAACATCATTATAATCTGCAGGGAAGCATTATGATTTCAATGTCAATGATGCAGTAGCTTGGCATCCAATAATCACAAATAATGGAAATAACATGCAAGAAAAAATGCTCACAGGCAAGAGGCAGCAGAGAGAAGATATGGTGCCAGTTTTCCAAATCAAAGAATAGAGTAAATAATAATGACAATGTTTTTTCACAAGGAACCATAACATAGGAGAGAAATTAGAGCACTAAATAACCTCTCCAAATCAAAGCCTCCAATTCCAAGAACATAATCCAAGTCAACTTTTCCAAACTCTGTACGCTTCAGGTTAGCCATGTGATTTATGTTCTGAATTCGAGCAACCAATATCAAAGTCAATCAAAATTATACAGCACGAATCATGAGATTAGAGTACTTAATGTGTATAATAAAATTGATTAAAATGAAAACCATGCAACATGATACTCACTCTAACACGCTTGATCAAAGAACTAATTTCTGGCTCGCCAACAAGATCAGTCTGCAACAACAAGGATAATAATATCAGTTGGGGATCCGAGCAAAAGATTCAACAACAGTAAAATATTTTCCAATATCCTAGAAAATATTAATATGTCTGATCAAAGCAGTTTAAAACAAATAACAGCATCAAGACTTAGTCGAAAACTATTTCCTGTCAAAATGGTGAAGCCAGATGTTTAATACTGGGTAATCATATTCCAGCAAAGAAAGGAATGCGCTCTAAATCAAAGTGCAGGAGAATACATAAAGGAGCTTAATCCTTCGTAGTTATAGTGTCCAAATTTTATATCATCACGGATGCCGTCCATACCTTATTTACTATAATACGGTCTGCATAAGCAATCTGTTCTACCGCCTCATTGACTACTCCCTTTGGTTTCACCTCATCCAGGTGAAAACCAGCATGCTTAGCATCAACTAAAGTGACAACACCATCTAACTTGACATCATTGAAAACCTTGTCCTCCGCATAAAATGTCTGAATGATCGGAGCTGGATTTGCCAATCCTGAGTAAATAAAAGGCATCACGTTTCTATATTTAAAACTAAGAGATGAATAAAAATCAAATATATACAAAAAGCAAGTAATACAACACCCCATATACTCCATGACTTAAGAATACCAGGTCCTATCAAATGCAGTTACTTTGTAAAATTACTCGCACCAAATTCCATACCTGTAGTCTCTATTACAATGTGGTCAAATTTCCCTTTCTTCCTACCAACCAATTCTGAAATCATCCTCACAAGATCCCCCCGCACAGTACAGCAGAGACAGCCATTGTTGAGCATAACTATGTCCTCAGCCCCAGTAGTTTGAGCAGCAACTAAAGAGCCATCAATATCTATTTCCCCAAACTGCAAGTTTCAGAGTTTCATATTACGATTTTGCATGAAATAGTTAAAATGTTTTGGATTGGATTACCCACAAAAAGGTGGGTAGTTTTCCTAATTATCTATTTCAATCTGAATATAAACAGAACCTTATCCTCATACCTCATTCTCAATAACTGCTATGCGCTTCCCATGATCAGCAGTCAAGATATGGTTGAGTAATGTGGTCTGTAAACCACAAGTGGAGCAGTTAATATACGAAGTCAAACAATTGAATCACACAAGGCAAATGAAAAATTGCTATTGAAAAAAAAAAGGCACCTTGCCGGAGCCCAGAAAGCCAGTAATTATAGTAGCCGGAATGCGGTTATCGGGCGGGATTTTGGTGGAAACATCGGAGTCCTCGCTCTGCGGAGTAGTCGTGGCCGTGGCAGAGACTGTGAACCGGCGGCTGGATTTGGAGGATACAATAACACTGCGGTGAACCAATGGAATTGTTCGGTAGGATAGGGTTTGGGATTTGGTGGGTCTTAGAAGGAGAGGAAGAACCGTGGTTCGGATTTTGGAGAGTGGGGTTCGGTGATGGCAGCGGGAAGTGAAGTTAACGAAGGTTGTGGCTATGTCCATAGACAAGTTCATCATTTTCACAGTATATGTTGGTTGCTGGCAATTTTCAGAGCACGGAGACGATGAG